TGAACATGAGCAGGCCCACTTCACAGCCCATGTGTTCGTTAACCATCACACTGTCCAATGATAGCAAGAGCAGCCTCTGCAGAGTAGGGGAGTAAAGGCCAAACCACAGAAGACTTAGACGTATTTGGGGGTTGAGGAACGGAATTATAGGAATGTCCCCTCAGAATGACAACATGTGGAAGATGCAGAGAAGGGAAGTGGGCAGAGTTCTTCCAGCCACAGACACTCAGAGGGCTCAGGAGAAGAGGAAAGTTCAGTCTCTCCAGCTGAACCTTAGCCTCACAGGTGCCTGGACAGGACCCTGGAGTATTGGTGCATGGTTCCTTTCCTCCTGCCAAAGATGCTGACCTGGCCTCCAAAGCAGTCTTCAAGGGAAACCTTGCTGCCTTCCCCAAGGACCAGGCAATACCAGCTCCTTAAAGAGAGTAAGGAGCTGTGCGTTGGCTCTCTGGAAGTGCTCACCCAGTGGACCAATTTATCTTCATTGTGATTCGGTAGTTATTTATTGCATTCCCATGGGTGCAGTGCCAGCTGGAGCCAAACTTGGTAATCGTTCCCTGCCTTATCCCCAGCAATTGTGTATTACATTCCAGCTGATGGTACGTACACTGATATAAACTGTTCACCAATAAACACGTCTCTTAAGAGCCTTATTTATCTTTGAGAGGCTTCATGAAGTAATCATATAGATTCATCACGCCATATTCTGCCCTTAGACTTTATGGGAGATTCCCCATTAACTTTAATGGGGAAGGTTGTTAGGTGTCATTTTCCCCCTCCCTTAGCATAGATCAAGGTTAGTGCATGGCAAATAAAAGACATATTTTTTGAAAGACTTAATGGGTCATTCCTACTCACCTCCTCAGTGACTGCAAGAGTGCCTTCTCCTAGGATAGTTTCTCATGTTTTGCCTTCTTCACAGTGGAACAACTTCCCCTTTAGGCTTTTGACCTCAGCCCCTACTTCCCAGTACATATTGGTCTCGTGCTGGGAAAATCTTCCTGCCATTAAACTCCAGCATTCTTTCCTCTCCTTCACCCAATGTCTTTCAAGTCACTGTTACCAAAGTAAATCTATTCCCCTGTTCTTGGCTCATGGTCAAAGCCAAGTCATCGGCACATCTGACATCTGTGTTTGAGCTTACAGGGTAGGAAAAGAGGAAAAAAAATGTCTTCTCTTTGTGTGGCAATTACCTGGAAGGGATACTTCCACTCCCCTCCCATTGGCCCATACTTGGTCCCAGAGATGCATCTGGCTGCCTCATGCCCAGTGCTACTATGTGTAGGAAAGCAGGAGAATAGGTTTTCGTGGACCTCTAGCACTATCCCCCACAGCTGTGCTTGGTTGGCTTATTTAGGCCTGAACTGTTCAAAACCTAACATAGCCAAAAGAGAATATTTCCTCAGAATAACGTTTGTGTAGAAGAAAGAAATATAAACCCAAGAGCTGAGTGGTAGACTCTGTCACAATGGCTCAAATCTTCCTAAACTAAAATATTTTCTCTGAAGTTAATATAAGAAGAGCTTTTAAAGGGTCACCCTTGGCTTCTTTCTCTAACACGGCATATCTGATCCATCAGCAAATAGTGTAGGCTCTTCCTTGTCTGTGTATTCAGAATCTAATCATTTCTTCACCTCCACTTCCAGTCCAAACAACCATCAACTCTCTCCTGGATTAGTTCAACAACCTGCTAATGATTGGAATTCTGCGCTCCTACATGTCTATTCTCAACACAGCAGCCAGAGTGCTCCTTCACTGTCATATTTCTACCATTCAGAGTATCTTAGGTACTCAGTAATATTTGTGGAATGAATGAATAAATGAATGAATGAGTGAATGAAATGGCAGAGGACTTAGACAACTTCCACAAGAGAAAACACATTATAATCAAATGTATGGGAAAATGTTCTTCATCAGCTGCACTAATTGTCTAAATCAGTACTTACCATCAGGAAAGGGAGGAATGCTGTCCAGAGAGCATGGAACAGTAATTTCTTAATTGAAACAACCGGAGGAGTTGACTAGACAGAAAACGTGCCACACTAGAAGAATCTAGAGGAGAATCAAATCTGGCAGGAGCCAGGGGCAGGCAGGGAGATTCTACCTGGGTTTGAGAATCAGTGAAAACATATTCAGGGTTAAGTTGGGGGCTGTAGGGATGTCCTAGAAAGTTAAGACCAGCAGGGAATTGTGGATTGGTAGAGATCTTTCTGGACTAAAGGGTCAGATAGAGGGAAGACTAATAAGTCCACAAAGGCAATTGAAGCAGATGTGGGATACTATATCTCAGCTACAAAAATTAATAATACAAATTTTAATGGCAACAGCCAGTGTGAGAGAAGTTGGGAAGGAAATGGTACCATCATACATAGCTGGTAACATTGTAAATTAGTTCCATCTTTTGGAAAATAACATGTATTAAGAAGAAAAAAGAAATGTTCATATCTTTTGACCCAGTAAGCCCATCCCTCATCCAAAGGAAGAATTTAATGGAAGAAACCAATGATAAATACGAAGACATTCACACAGCAGTCATTGTCATAGCCAAAAAGTTGAAACAATCTAAACGTTCATTAATAGGCAATGACTAAATAAATGATAGTCTAGTTACTCAATGGAATATATGTTATAAAGCTCTCAAGAATACTTATGACATCATATAGCAACAGTAATGATGCTTATGACATAATGTTGTGTGAAAACCACACTGTAAGTTGTAGATTATTGGTTGCAAATCTTTAAAACTATCCACACAACATGGCTAAGACTGAAGAAGAATGTGCAAAAATAATTGTGTGGTGGGATGGGGATTTTTTTTCCTTTTTCTAAAATTGACTTTATTTAATTACTAAAGTTTGTGTTTCTTTTAGGATTGGCACCTGAGCTAACATCTGTTGCCAATCTTTTCTTTTTTCTTCTTCTTTTTCTCCCCAAAGCCTCTCCAGTACACAGTTGTATATTCTTGTTGTAGATCCTTCTGGTTGTGCTATGTAGGATGCCATCTCAGCATGGCTTGATGAGTGGTGCCATGTCCACGCCCGGGATCCAAAATGGAGAAACCCTGTGCCACCGAAGCAGAACACGCAAACTTAACCACTGAGCCACTGGGCCAGCCCCCTGTTAATAAGTTTTTAATGACATAAAATTTCTTTCACACAAAAATAAAAGGTTGAGGTATGGGGAGAAGACATCCCTTCTCTTGGTGATTAGTCTGCTACTGCTGCCCCATGAAATCCACCAGCACTGGCAATCACTGAAAAACATGGGCATGCAGGCCTTCTGCACACAGCATCATCCAGCCCGGCCAAGTGAGCACTCCATCTGTCCTACCTACCAGATCTGGGGCAGAAAATTGCTAGGACATTGGGTTTGGACGCCTCTTGGGGTTCCAGTGGTCATATGGCATTTCCTGCTTATAAACAAAGAGAACAGCCTGAGACAATGAACTTCGTGAGGACACTTCCTGCCTACTGTGTTCAGGCTAAACACAGAGCAGCAACCCAGGCTCCAAGGCCAGGGCTGGGAAGACTTAGCCTTTCTTAGTTGGCAGCTCAGGAACCTTCTGACCCTGGAGCCTCTGCTGCCCAAGGAGAGCTGGGGGCTTCTAGCAATAATTCAATTAGTCTCTGAGCCTGCCCGCACCTTGTTCTCAGAATGACCAGAGTGCAAGAGTCAAAGGGTCATAAGTTCTTCCTTTTGCAACTTGTCTTATTTTTTTTGTTCTTTTTTGAGGAAGATTAGCCCTGAGGTAACATTTGCCGCCAATGCTCCTCTTTTTGCTGAGGAAAATTGGCCCTGAGCTAACATCCACGCCCATCTTCCTCTACTTTATATGTGGGATGCTGCCATAGCACGGCTTGATAAACAGTCTATATGTCCGCACCCAGGATCTGAACTGGCAAACCCGGGGCCACCAAAGTGGAGCACGTGAACTTAACCACTATGTCACAGGGCAAGCCCCACAACTTGTCTTTTTCAATAGCTCACCAAACTCCCCCACATCCCATGATGAGAGCCATAGCATCACACAGAGACAATACTTGTCCAGGCCAGACCATCTATTCCCCTGACTCTGGGCAAAGCTACATTTGAAATCTTCCACGAGAATAGTTGTCAGCCTTAGCCTGAACCTTAACCACAGAAAAATATTCTCCAACCCCCTACAACTCTGTTTATCTGAAAGGCAAAGCAGTGTCCCACAGATCAACTTATCTGAAAGTCCTACTAATTTAATTCCCTTGTACACCACTGCAGTCTGACCACCCACATTCCTTTTCCTCCTGTGAACAGAAACAGAAAGTAGCTGCACGTGACCGTCATCACCATCGCATTTACTGAGCCCTTCTCTTGTGTGAGATGCTGCACTAAACTTTATTCATCCATTTAATTGTCACCACAATTCTGTGTAGTAGACACTGTTATTACCCCCATTTTATAGATGAGAAAACTGAGACAGGAAGACTACGTAACTTGTCCAAGGTCACACACGGTAGGTGGCAGAACCAGGATTTGAACCACTTTAGTTTGAGTCCCAGACCTGCCCATATCAACCATGTTCCCTGCCTTCCTCCACATGACTATTGACAGTAGACAAGAGAAATGTGGCATCACAATGGAAAAACTGCCGAAATTCAATTTACCTTCTAAAATATTTCTGAGTTGCTGGGAATTCACGTAAACACAACCATAAGCTCACACTGATGACCTGCCCCAGGGGAGGCAGAAAAGCTTCCAGCAATAGCCCAAACCGGCAAAGGTTTTTTTTAAAACTGAGCCTCATATCCAGCCCTGCACTCTGGGAAGAAAGTGGTGGGTCTCAAACTTTGTAAAAAAGAATTTTGATTGTGAATCTTAAACTTCTCTAAATAATAAAGTCTTAATTTAAAAAGAATAAAGGGAAGAAGAAGTTTGACCAAACCCTATGATACTCCTGGGCTCAAGTAAGCCTGCTGTGAGGCCCTCCAGCAGGACAGAATGCAGAGAAGAAGTGACATCCCTACCTGTGGGAGAGGTGAACACGTATGGTCCGGATGGAGGCAGGAGAGAGGCCCAGTGCAGCCTAAGTCTGGAGAGCTGTGCAGCGGCCTGGCACTAGGAGAGCCTGGAGCTACCAGCAGGAGCATCCCTCTCAGGGTCTCTCTGAGATGTCATAGTTGGGGTGGGGTCCTTCAGTTCAGCCAGTGGGAGGGGAATATGAAACTACAAGAGCAAAACATAGATCTGACTATCACTGTAACTTCCCTTATACTCACAGGGTGGTACGGAAGGCTGAATACCCAGTGCAGTCCTAAGAAACAAAGCTTCCTGCTCAAAGACCTCTGCTGTTCCCCTGGTAACCTATAGGATAAAGCTCTGATCCCCTCACATGGCACGCATAGTCCTTTGCGATCCAACTGCTGCTTCTCTCTCCAACCTCGGCTCCCAGGACTGCAACACCCCCAGGGCCACAGCACCCCTTCATCCACAGATGCACCAGGCCTAGGCTGATCTGCATCCGTGCCCTTCCACACCCTCTCTAGAAAGCCCGCTTTTCCTTTCTCTATTCCTACCACTTATTTTACAAGGCCTGCTAAGCTGCTGCACCTCCCCAACTCCCTTCTCCTTATCTCACTTTCCACTGCTTCCCAATTAGTCATCCTTTCCTTTGGGCTCCGAAATACGCAGTGTTCAGCTTTATTTAAACACTCACCGTGGCAAGGTGTTATAATTGTTGATTGCTGTCTCCCTCTCTCTACCTTGAGCAACCAGAAGACAGCCACCCATCTCTCATCGTTCTCTCTCACACCCATTCCTATCTGCTCTCCTCGAGGCTCTTGAGGTAAACCCTATGAACACAGGGAGAAGAGTCTTAAGTCAGTAGGTAAGGTAATCTTGTATCTAAATCAACAAGGGGAGTCCTAGAAATACAGCTAGTGATAGATACTTTTTGGAAGGCAAGGCCTGAAATGTTGTGCGCTAAGTGACTCAGAGACAGGTGACCCAGGAAATTAACCTGCATGAGGGGCTAGGTGTGCAGTGCACACTCTGAATGCTGGCTGAAGCCGGGCTCCCATTGGCCCTGACCTCTTGTATTCATCCCTACATTCAAGTTTGGGTATGCCCTAGCAATCCCTTCTCACCAAGACTATAACTGTCAGAATTTCCCTAAATCGTTCACAGGAAAACTCCTTTTAGCATAAAGACTAGTCTTTCATTCAAGAAACTGGAGAATTGGAAAATATTAAGCAGCCAGATGTCTCCCCTCACTGTGTCCCCATCCTTGCCTGGGTCACTGCCACCCTTCTGCAGTCCCTCGTTCCCAGGTTCCTGGAGCATCCCTTCCCTCCTCTCTCTCCATTCACACCTGGCTCCCCTCCCCTGCTCCTCCTCATGTTCTCCTGCCAAGCTTACTTACTAGGCCAGTTGGTTCAACTTCCTGGCTGCATGATAAAGAACGGTGTTCATAGCACCAGCAGTTTCTATGATGCAGGTCACTTCACTGAGTCATCTGTCACTGTGTCATCTAACACACTGCACTCTGAGTACTTGCTTCCAAAAGTGTCGCTGGCAATTCAAATTTCTAAAAGGCACCTCTTGTGGGTTGATTTAGGGTAGACACAGGATTACCTGGCCTTCTGGCTCAAGAGTCCTCTCCATATTTTAGCAGGGTTTGACACAGAAGCTTCAAGAAAAGAGATAAGAATTGGCTTTTTCAGTCTACCCCAGTTTTGCCACTCTTAAATTAATTCAACCCTGGAAATCAGCCAGGAACCTCTAAGCCAGCATTCCTCAGAAGTCCTGCCTCCTTGGCTCCTAGAGAGTGGAAGAGGATTGCTTGAGAATGAGGGCTGGGCCCCAGGACTGCAATTCCTCTGTGGGGAGACTGAGCTCAGGAATGCCCTGTTGGGTGCCGGGAACCCTCTAGCACTGCAACTCGGACTCAGGCACAACTCCACATGGCAAGTCATGCCTTGCTTCCTGACACAAGCTCCACTTGGGAGAGGGACAAAGTTGGGGCAGGGATGGGACTTCCCTCCTTACCTGGTCTGGCTGCAGGACACTCTCATCTGAAGAACCAGCTGCATGCCAGTCTACTGGTGGGCTTGGCCCAGTGCCTCCAACCACTCCCTGGGCTGTGGGCCTTTGGCCATGGTCCTGAGAGCCACTGAGACTGACCCCCAAACTATAGCATCTTCCCAGGGTTCCTGTAACCAACTGGGCCCCCTGTGGATACCTGGGGATTGACAAGACTCCCCCAAGATCTGATCTGGTCCCTGGTGTGACATGCAGAGTCCAGGGAGACTTCCCCACCATTTCCCATGGCAGTGTCCACTTCTGTGCCTGGCTCTATTCTGACTTCTAAGGGGTCAGTTGCTCCCCTTGGAATTCTTCTGGAATGAAACCTGGCTACAACCTAGTACTTTGGTGTGGGAGGAGAGTAGGCTCTCTGTTGCACCCCTGGACCCAGCCAGGCATAGAGCTACGAGCCAAACTGGGATTCCCCTGGAGTACCCCACAGCCATCTGACTAACAGGAAAGCGGGGTGCCTGGCTTTGGGGTCAGCCAGGTGCAATGAGAAGCCACTGGTAAGGCAACAAGGAGATAGCCAGGGCAGGAGGAAGCAAGATAGCCCAGTAGAGGGCCAGGGTCCTGCTAAGTGAGCCTGGAGTCGGGAGCTGAGCCCCTGGCTCTGAGTCAGCTCCTGGAACCAGACAGTAGTATCTGGGGACAGGGAAAGGGGCAGGCCAGGGCAAGAGCAATGCCAAGCCCCACTATGAGGCTGGAGTACAGGCAGAGGTGACCAGACAGGGCCTAGGTCTGGGCAGGAGCTTCTCAGTGCCCTCCAGCCTGAGGGCAGAGCTAAACTGGGGACCTCCTGTACCTGCAGGAGAAAGACACGAGGCCTCCATCTAGGAAGAGAGGAGAAATTCATGTGATATCAGCCAACGAAGGGGAGCATCAGACCCTACATGGGACAGTGATGTTCTTTCCCATGCCCACAAAAGTGCCCAGAGCCTGAGCCAGCCACGAGGTGTTTGAATTCTCCAGGGAGCCTGCGTGGGGAGGAGGAAGGGCAGCCCTTTTGAGATCACCCTTGCCTTCTGCTCTTTTAAGGGGTGGAATTGCCTAAGACTCTCAGGATTGCAAGATGAATACCACCTCAAGTGTGAAATTGTGCAAACTGAGATTATAAAGGAAAAAAGCTCTCTTGTTTTCAAGGTGACAGAACTTCTATACCCAAACAAAGTCTGTCCCCCAAAAGCGTCACTCTGGAAAACCATACACATCTTATGCGCTGCTGATGCCATTGCTGGAGATGATTTAAGACACTTCTTGCGATCTTCAGAGACCATTTATGAAGCACCAAAGAGAAACAGTATCATCGCCATAAAACAGCACCTTGTTTTTGCTCAAGAATGATATTACCCAGCATATTAGTCAGGACCTTTAAATTACTGGGATCGGAAATCCAACTCAAATTAGTTTTCCATTGTTTTTTGTAGTTTTATGTTTTATAGTTTTACATTTTTATGTTTAAGTTTATGACCCATTTTGAGTTAACTTTTGTATAGGGTGTGAGACTCAGGTTAAGGTTTGGTGTTGTTTTGGCTCATGGATGTCCAGATGCTCCAGCACCATTTGTTGAAAAGGCTCTCTATCCTCCACGGAATCATTTTGCAACTTTGTTAAAAATCAGTTAGGCATATTTGTGTGGGTCCATTTCTGGGTTTTATGTTCTGTTCCACTGATTGATCTTGTCTATCCCTCCACCATCACCATGCAGTTTTGACTAGTACAGCTACACAGTAAGTCTTGAAACTCGGTACACTTATGCCTCCCATTTTATGCTTCTTTTTCAAAATTGTTTTAGTTATTCCAGTTTCTTTGCATTTCCATAAAAACTGTAGGATAATCTTCTATATCTAAAAATGAATCATCCTGAGATTTTGATAGGAAATATGTTAAATCTATATATCATTTTGCGGAAAATTGACGTCTTGATTGTGTTGTCTTCCAATCCACGAACATAGTATGTCTCTCCAATTTATTTAGATTCTCTGATTTATGTCATTAGTGTTTTATAGTTTTCAGCATACAAGTCCTATACATGTTTTGTTAGATTTGCAGCTAAGTATTTCATTTTTCTAGTGAGTGATGGTAAGTGATACTGTATTTTTAATTTCAATAGTCATGTGATCATTGCCAGTATATAAAAATATAATTAATTTTTGTATTCTTATTTTGTATCTTATGGCCTTGCTAAACTCACGGACTAGTTTTAGGTTTTATTCTTTTTCGTTTGGTAGATGCCTTGGAATTTTCCACATGGACAATCATGTCATATGCAACTAGTAACAGGTTTATTTCTTCCTTTTCAATCTGTACACTTTTTATTTCCTTTTCTTGCTTTATTGTGCTGGCTAGAAGTTCCAACATGATGTTGTTTTAGAGGGGTAAAAGCAGATATCTCTGCCTTGTTTCTGAACTTAGAGGTAAAGCATTCAGTCTTTCACCAAAAAGTCATAAGATTACTTGCAGGGTTTTTGTAGATGCTCTTTTTCAAGTTGAGTAGTTTCCCTCTATCCCTAGTTTTCTGAGAGTTTTTATCATAAATGGGTTGTTGAAATTTGTCAGGTTCTTTTTCTGCATTAATTGATGCGATCATGTAACTTTTTCATTAGCCTATAAATATGATGGATTACACCGATTGATTTTTGGTTATTGAATCATCTTTGTACCCTTAGAATAAGCTCCACTCTATCTTGGTAAATAATTTTTTATATATTGCCAAATCTCATTTGCTAATATTTTGTTACAGATCTTTGCATCTGCATCCATGAGACATACTAGTCTATAGTTTTCTTCTCTCATAATGTTTTTGTTTGGCATCAGGATAATACTAGCTTTATAGAATGAATTGGAAAATGTTTCCTCCTCTTCTATCTTCTGGAAGAAATTTATGTAGAATTGGTTTAAACATTTGGTAGAATTCTCTAGTGAAATCATTTGGGCCTGGAGATTTCTTTCTTGGGACTTTTCAAATTACAAACTCAATTTTCTAAACAGTTAAAAGGCTATCCAACTGATCTATTTCATGTTGAGTGAGGTGTAATAGTGTGTGTTTTTCAACAAAGTGATCCATTTCCTTCAAGTTGTCAAATTTACTTGTGTAGAGTTGCTTGCAGTGCTCCCTTATCATTTTGATGCCTACAGTGTCTGCCAATAGCCCCTGTTTCATTCCTGATGTTGGTAATTTTTGTCTTCTCTCTTTTTTCTTTTGTCAGTCTTGCTAGAAGTTCATCAATTTTATTGATTTTTTTCAAAGGGCCATCTCTTTGTTTCGTTGATTTTCTCTATTGTTTGTTTTTAATTTCATTGATTTCTGTTCTTATCTTTATTATTTCCTTCCTGCTGCTTGCTTTGGGTTTATTTTGCTCTTCTTTTTCTAGCTTTTTCTAGTGAGACCTATATTGTTGATTTGAGTCTTAACCTCTTTTCTAATATATCTATTTAGTGTTATAAATTTCCTTTCAGCACTGCTGTAGTTGTGTCCCACAATTTCGATACATTGTATTTTAATTTTCATTCAGTTCAATGTTGTATTTTATTTCCTCTGATATTTCCTTTTTAACCCATGGCTTATTTAGGATTATGTTTTTAGTTTCAACTATTTGGAGTTTTTCAGTTATCTTTCTGCTATTAATTTCTAATTTGATTTCATTGTGATTGGAAAATCATTAATAGATAATAGACATTAATAGATAAATATCTATTAGATCCTATTGGTTAACTGTGTTAGCATCTATTGATTTTTTTTCATTCAGTTGAGATTTTCCTTGTTCCTGGTATTACAAGTGATTTTCTATTGAAAGCTGAACATTTTCATATTATGTTGTAAGTCTCTGGTTCCTATTTAAGCCTTCTGTTTTAGTTGGCTTAAGAGAGAGGGGCCCTCATTACTGGCCAATAGGGATGAAAGTCCTGGCTCCCTATTTGGCCATCTCTGGCACCACCCCCACAGGGGCGTTGGGATGCCCTGTCACAGCCTTGAGAAGGTGAAAGTCTAGGCTCCCACTTGACCTTTACTGGCATGGGTGGGGGTGGGCCACACTTTTTTCTGTGGTATTTGGCTGGATTAGAGCAGTCATTGTCTAAAAGGTTTCTGTCTTACTTGTCTGCCTCTTTCCTGGTCCCTTGGCTAGAGAGATCAGGCTTTTTTGGTGGCTTTTGTTTATCCATACCCATTGGTGTTTCCAGGCTGCTGGCTTCTTCAGCTCCAAGTTTAGGGTACATAAGGCAAAAAGAAAACCCAGAAAACTCAACAACATGTCATTCCTTGGTTCTGAGGCCCCTAGCTGCTTCTCTCCATCTTTCAGAATCTCCTCACATTTCTTTCTTATATAATATCCAGAGGTTTTAGTTGTACCTGGAGGGAGATTAAGTAAAAGTATGTCCATTCCATCTTCCCAGAAGCAGAAGTCCACTGGAACACTTTTCATGCATTTCCTTTCAGTCTTTTTTCTATGTATGTTTTAAAACTTGGGAATTTTCTGCAATACAACTCTGCTTTTTTAAACTTAGCATTATAATATAAATATAATTTTAATGATTGCAAAATATTCCATAACATTGATATCATGCAATTTCTTAGCCATTTTCTTCTTAACCATTTGAATTTTTTCCAATATTTTATTGTGTATTTCCTTTAACTCTTCTCTTAATGAACATGTGACTTGTTTCCAAGGGCCTACTGATGTAAGCACCGTTGTAATTAGCATCTTTGGGTGTAAAATATTATGTCTTTGCTTGAGAGTTATTTTTTTCAGGATAAATTCCTAGAGATGGGGTTAGTTAAAAGGGAAGACTATTGTCCATTGTATGTTTTTTAAGGCACAGCTTGGAATGTGTTTACAAGAAACATCAATGGAGACTTTCTTGCCTGTAGTATTTGGATTCATGGGGGCCCAAACACCTTCTCTCCCTTTTCAGTTTGAGCCTGAGAAGATCACCAGCTTAGCTTAAACAGACGTGACCACCATGGTCCTCTCCACAGGAGTCCTTCACCAACCTGCAAGTCAGGAATCACTCATCAGCATTTGTGACTCAGGCACCTCACCTCCAGGGAATAATCATTAAATCCTTTATTGCCCCTCGCTAGGTTTCTTAGCTTTATTAGGATGTGTATTCTGGCCATAAATTGTTTTAGAGCACTCTTGTGTGCTATGGTCAAAGTTTTTATCACCTCCATAAGTCATTACAAAATGAAGGCTAAATCTGTGCTGTTCGTCAGTAGACACTTGCCACCTGTGGCTGTCTAAATCTAAATTAATTAAAATTAAAAATCTTAGTTCTCGTTTCCACTCACCACACTTCATGTGCTCAATAGCCGTATGCGTCTAGTGGCTATTGTGTTGGACAGCGTGGATTACAGAAATTTTCCATAATTGCAGAAAGTTCTAGAACAGTGCTGGTTAAACTATTCCTCTCTTGGACTCTGCTGTCATAGAGAACCTTTGTTTCATAATTACCTTTTCCACAAATCAATTCAGATTTAGAGCAAAGTAAGTCCTTCTACTTACCAAAGACACGAAGGAACATCCCAACTAAAAAGGCCCACAGTAATAATTATGAACAGCAATGGAGGATTTACTAGGTGCCAGGCACTCCGCTAAACACAGCCACTTCCCCACAACTCCAAGGTGTGGGTACTATTTTAAACATAATGAGAATTTCTGCTGAAGAAAATGTTTTCCCATTCATTATAAGTAATTTGTTGGGAAGAAATGCTTTAATATGCTGCTCAGGGTAGAGGGTGAGACTCCAAGATCATGCCCCAGCAATAAAAGGCGCTTCTCAAACTACTCTGTAATAATTTGTTTTTCTGAGGGGGAGCGAGCAGAGGGTTGAAAAAGGTACATCAGGAGGGTGTAAGCCTGAAGCACATGTAGCTCTTCGATCTCTTCAAAAAGCCTCCTGTGATGGAGGCAGGACCCTCACATACAGGCCTGAGGGCAGCAATGCAAGGAGACAGGAGAGGCAGTGTGGTCTAGTGTCTCCCAGAAAGACGTCAGCTCAATGCTGGATTCTCTCTCTTGCTGCCTGTGAGAGCTGGCTCAAGCCTCAGTATTCTGACCTGCAGTATGGGGACAATACCACCTAACGTGGGCATTTGCTTGAGGACTCATTGAAAGAGAGACAGGGGCTTCATCAATGTTACCTCCCAGGTCACCCCTGGGCTGCATGCCTCTGTGGTCTGACTGAGACAGGCACCAACAGAGCCACCCAGGTGGCACCTTCACTCCACAGCCAACAGGTCCAGAGCTACCTAGCATTGAAGAGGGAATTGTCTGTGCTCCTCCAAAGAAGAGAGAGAGGGTGGCTTCCCCCAACACCCATAAACCTGGAGCTGGTGGCTCACCCTGGGCTGCTGGGAGAGGAGATAGGATAAAATCAGCCCTTTGGGTGCTCCCAGCATCTTCCTCCCAGCCCCCCTGAGCAGAGGAGATGATGGCAACTTGTAATCCCGTGAAATGCTTGATGCTGCCAGGAAGCAGCAAGGTGTGTCTTTGCAATTCTGTATGCTGCGGAGTGGGAGCCCCAGTTCTCTCTGACAGATTGGGCTTTAAACCTGTCACAGTAAATAGTCAGGAATTAATACACCAGCTCCCTGACTCTGGCAGTGCAATTTGCCATCTAAAATTGTTACCTTCTGCAGAACGGTACATAAACAAAATGAGCAGGTCGAAGGCACTTTTCAGAAGACCTGGTATTCACAGGTAAGTGGTTCTTCCCCAAGAAGAGGGAGGGCAAGTAGTAGAGGAAAAGAGTTGCAGTTCACAAATTCTTGTTGCAGGCCAAGTGGGGAGCCTGGCGCTGAGAAGGCACTGTCTCTTTTATCTTTACTACCACCCTGTGAGGGAGGAATTACCATCCCCATTGTGCCTATGAGGAAAGCGGAGGTCAGAGTCACTTGCTCAAGGTCACAAAGCTGGTGAGTTAAGTAGTCACCCTCAGCCTGAATGGTTCTGGCCCAAGTTGCACACCCCTTCACTGAATCAGGTCTTAAAACAGTTGTAGCAAGGAGTCAGCATGAGGTGTGTGAGCTGTTCAGTAGTGAAGGGAGACCATGGACAGAGCTCCATCCAGCCCCCAGGGGTGTTCCTTTTACCCTTCTGTGCACCCTTCCTCCAGGGTACGTGTTCCTTTGCTTCTCACAGCCACACCTGCCTCTCCCTTAGGAGGACTGCTTCAGGGCTCCTGCAGTACTCTGATCACAGGAGCAAAAAGCTGGAAGTTTCTGACTTTTCAGGTGGCCCTTAGCCAAGGATTGACTGGGGACTGTGAAAGCCAGCTCTGTTGCCTTGAGTCAGGACAAACTCTGAAGTGTGACATGCCCCAGAGCACCACGTGGGATCCGGAGGAGGCTGGAACTCTGCCTGAGCTCACAGCCTGGCTTGGCTTCTACTCTGCCCTGCTCTCTCATCCCTTCCTTATTTCCTCTGACAGCATCTCCCTGATAAATCAGTTTCCCACAGGCCCTTGTCTCAGGGCTTGCTTCTGAGAATCCCACCCTAAGACAGAGCATTTTCCCACTGAAAGCAGCCAACTGGCATCTGGGACAGAGTTGACCGAAGGATCCACGTCTTGTCTTGTTCCTTGATAAGTTACTCGAGGCTAATTCTCTTTCAGTGCCTACCAAAGTGCCAGGCACGAGAATCTTTGCCTTGTTAATGAGTACAGGCTGATAAAATGTGTGCATTTTGATGTGCAAGTCAAAATTTGAACCAAAATACTAAAGTGCAGGTTTTTAAAGCCTCACTCAAAAAAGGCATCCACTCACCCCAAAGAGATCTTAATATTACTGGTACAGCCCGTTCAACCAGCTTGGGGTACAAACCAGGCATATCTTTCCCATTCTTCAGTTGCTCAACCCTCCCCGTCCGACCTTATCTGGAAGAAAAGTCCTCCTTTAGGCCTTCTCTGTCTCCATTGCTCAATATCCCTGGACGTTGCCCAGACTGAAGAGGTCGGTCCTGCTTTTAAATGCCTTGTGGAGACAGAACAAGAGTCTGCACAGCCCTGCTCCTATTATCACTTCTGTTGCTGCCACATGGTGTCACCTTTGAAAATTGGTCCTGCAGAGTTGGATGGATGCTCCTCCACTGGGGTCAGAGCAACAGTACCCAGCCACACAGGCTGCAGCCCCACTCCAGGGCTGCTCTTCTCATACACAGCCGTGTGACTGTAAGGGACAAATGTGTAGTATGCAACTGGTCCTACTGCGCCCCAGCGGCC